AACAAACAAAAAAAACAAACAAAAACAAACAAACCCCAAACCAAAAAAGATGAGGTCATATTGGAGTAGGATAAGCCTTAAATTCCATGTGACTATGGACCTTGTAAGAAGAGACACAGACAAAGAAGGACGACAGTCATGGGAAGATGGTGGCAGAGACTGGAGTTATGCTGCAGAAGCCAAGGAATGCTTGGGACTACCAGAAACTGGAAGAGGTAAGAAAGGTTTCTCCTCTAGAGGCTTCAGGGGAGGCCTGGCTTTGAAAGACCTCCTGAACTGTGAAGAAACAAATTCCTATTGTTTTAAGCTACTGACTCGTGGCATTTGTTATAGCAGCACCAGGAAACCAATACACTGCCTATCAGTAACAATGAGAAGCAAGGAAGGCATCTCGGTAGGGTCTAGGCTAGACCTGCCCTGTGCAGGCCAGTGCAATTCACACCTCCATTTCCAGGGACAAATCCTCTACGTGGCGTGTGCCTGTTTCTAACATTTATAAAATGTACAGTTTACCAGGCATTTTTTACATACCTCACCTGTGACTGTCATGACCATCAGGTCAGATAACAAGGTGGGTTGTTCAGTGCAGGTTAGACACAGATACGTTTCTTGTAGGCAGTTTGAATTAAAATAGGGTCAGCATTCAGACATCTTTCTTATCGGTCACGATCTCCACCTGACCAACTGGGAACACCAGACCTGACCACCTTGAGGGCTGGAATGTGGATCTGCCGGTGTAGTAGATCACAGAAACAACAGGAATTATCCAAAACACAGACATGATGATCTAAGAAAAACCCAAACCTAGTTAGACAACACCTTTAATTATTTAGAAAGTCCTTGTGACCTTAGAAGTTGGAGAGACAACCCTCAAAACTCATGACCAGTTATGGGCAGTCCACTGCTCTTAATTCACGGTTTGCTTAGTCATGGTTGTAAAGGCATATAAAGCCTTCTTGTCAAAGGCAAGCACGTGTCCTCTTTTAAGGGACCCATGCTCGCTTTTGAGAAAGTCTCTTTCCCTCTAATACATTGTCTTAAACAGTACTTGGGATTTGCTCTGAAATGCTTTTCTGTGGCAAAGTCAGAAGAACCCACAGAGAGTCACAGCACTCCCTACGGCATCAATACGATCAATATAGCATTAAAAGTTTTAAAAATAGACTTTGTGAGAGCAGTTTTAGGTTCACAGCAAAAATGAATGGAAAATACAGAGATACACCCACCTAACCCCGACCCCACACATGCAAAGTTTCTCCCACTATCAACTCCTGACCCCCCAGAGGGGGGTACATTTGTTATTGTTGAACCTGCATTGACACATCACATCATTCCTAGTCCACAGTTTACATTAGGATTCAGTCTCGATGTTGTACATTCTATGGGTTGGGACAGAAGTATAAAGACATACATCCACCATTGTAGCAGCATATAGAATAGTTTCACTGCTCTGTAAATCTGTTCTCCACCTATTCATCCCACCTGCCAACTCCTGGCAACCACTGATCATCTTATCATCTACATAGTTTTGCCTTTTCCAGAACACCATATATTTGGGGTCATACAGTATGCAACCTTTTCAGATTGGCTTCTTTCACTTAGTGATATGCATTTACGATTCCTTCATGCCTTTTCACGACTTGGTAGCTCATTTTTTTTTTTTTTAGCATGGAATAATATTTCATTGTCTGGATGTATCATAATTTATCCATTTACCCACTAAAGGACATGTTGGTGGCTTCCAAGTGTTAACAATTGTGAATAAAGATGTTAGAAACATCTGTATACAGGCTTTTGTGTGGATGCAAGTTTTCAGCTCATTTGGGTAAATACCAAGGAGTGCAATTGCTGCATCATAAGGTGAGAGTATGTTTAGTTTTGTAAGAAATTGCTAAAGCGTCTTCCAAAGTGACTGTAACAAATACAGTTTTCATTTAGTGCATGAGGGAAGGGGTTTGTAGAGGTTAATCAGCTAGTCTAAGATTGGGCATGAGTGGGGATTTTTACACTCACCTCATCTTCAATCTCACCAGGATCTTGGAGGCTTAGTTCAAAGGATGTGACCTGAGGATACTAGACTGGTAAAAGCTGGGTTCTAGATTTGTTGGCTACAGAATCTGGAACTCCTACTCTTCTCCCAGAAACCTGGTCTACCCACAGCTTTCTTTTCTTTTTCTTTTTTTTTTATTATAAAGATGTGGGGTACAATGCAGGGTTAGGTATACAAACGTTGATTATGCAGGTACCCTTGTTGATGAGGTGTACCCCTCCCTCCCCTGTCAGTTTCCCTCAATTGTCAATCCCACCCCCCTCCCCGCTACCCACAGCCTTCCTCATCTCAGTTGAGGGTAGCTCTGTTCCACTTCCTCAGGCTAAAAACCCTGGAGTCAGTCTCAACTTCTTTTACTTCTCTTATACCCTAGATCTGTTCCTTCAAAAAACACTGAGGACTCTTTCTTCAAAATGTATCCAGAATCTGAACACATCTAAACACCAGTGATGCCGCCCCCTTAGTTCCAGCAATTATTAGTGACCGTGTTCACTATCACTGCATCTTCCTTGGTACTGATGAGAATTGTGTCGTCCGCTCACAACTTTATATATCTGATATTTGGAACGATTTTATGCAGACGAGCTTCTGGATCTGTACATTTCAAACCTGGTTTCTCCTCTCCTACCCACATCTTTCAGGGCCCGGTGCCGTAAAACACTTTCATATTAGATGCCATATCATATCATATCTAGATATCATATCATATCTAGTGTAACTTCCTGCCACGGTGCCAGGTGAGTTGACACCGTGGGTGGCAGTATTCCCAGAAACCATTCCTATGCTAGGATTTCAGGAAAGACTGAATCACATACAAGGTGGCACAGGGTGGGGGGTGGGGAGGGGGGAGACGAACAAGAAACCCATACATTTATTTATAAAAATTGTTTATTTATTCTTACATGTCTAAACTTCAGTCATCTTCAAAGTATTCTCCATTTGATGCAATACCCCTATCGAGATGATTTTTCCGTGGCTCAAAAGTTTTTGGATTGGTTGATTAAAAAAAATTTTTAGATTTAGGGGGTACACATGGACGTGTTGTAAAGTGATGGGGACTGGGTCTCAGGTGGCCCACTCCCCAGACAGTGAAGGTTGTACTCCACAGGTGGTTTTCCCTCCCCACCTCCCCCCTTATTGGTGTCCCCAGTGTCTCTTATTTCCATTTTTGTGACTGTTTCGCAAAACTCACGTGAGTGAAAACATGTGGTGTTTTGTTTTCTGTTTCTCAGTAATTTTGATGCCTTTTACTGCCTCTGCCGTTGTTTTTTTTCACCTCTTTCACATCAGCAAACCGTCTTCCTCTGAGGACTTTTTTCATCAGGGAAACAAAAAAAGCTGCTTGGAGAGAGATCGGGTCAATAGGGAGAGTGAGGCAGAGAGGTCAGGCTGTTTTGGGTCAAAACCGTTGAACACTCACTCGGTGCAGCGTGCAAAGGTGCTCTGGTAAATCATCCATCATGAAATGGGCAAACGTGTTGAAAGAACCTCTAGAAAAATTTTCACTGAAGCCGAACACAGTCTCTTTCGACAAGGCTAGCTGGTATACTGATGCCGATGGGTTCTTAGAACACTTACCTTGTGGGGGAAGCCTGTGTTACGTACGAGGGGCCCACCCTCCAAAACATTGTTCTGGGTTATTTTGGGGGGGTTCCCCCTTCGTAAATATATTCACTAAATCAAACTAAGTATGTCTCCAACTCAATTTCTCCTTAACTAGAACTCCAAAATGGCCCTTGTCCCTCCAACAGGAGGGGAAGCATGATGGCGGCAAAAGTGGAATGCAAAGAAACAGGACTCTTAAGCAATAACAATTTGAATATCCTGCTTTGGAAAATTTTACAAAATTCTATGGTCATATTTCTCCAAGGTCTTGGAAAGTCCCTTTGCAAGTGAAGGGTTCTAAAGCTTACCTTTCATAAGCTTCATGGTGAGTCAGCTCCGGGCATATTTTACATTGCAACCTGCTCCCTTCCTCCGGGGCTCCCCATCCAACTTATCTGCTTTTCTTGTTTCCATAGCACCCTTTGGGTACTGTATAATTTATTTATCTATCGTATCTGCCCCCTGTAGAATGCAAGCTTCATGAGGGCATGAATCTTTGCTTGTTTTGTCCACCGATCTTTCTTAAGCGCCTAGAAGAAGGCTAGGTGCCTAGTGGGTGCTCCAAAAAAGATTTGTGGATAAATGAATGAAATAAATAATGTGTAAATGAGTGAGTGGATGAACCTAAAGAAACCTAGGATCAGGAGGACTGTGGCAATCCAGGACTCAGAAATCTTAACTTTAGTTCTTTTTAAAAATTTTTTTATTGTAAAGATGTGGGATACAATTCAGGGTTAGGTATACACACACTGATCATGCAGGTACCCTTGTGGATGAGGTATGCCCCTCCCTTCCCCAGCAGTTTCCCTCAACTGCCCATCCCACCCCCCTCCCCTGACAGTTTCCCACTACTGCCAATCGCTTTCTTATAGCATTAT